ATCACAAATGAAAAGATGTTACTTTCTCAATCCCCCAAAAAAAAGCCCGGCAGGTATGTGATCAAGAGGTAGCCCACACTTATTTTTGTTAACTATCATAAAATACACTGGAAGCTGAGATAGTAGAACAAAGCCTGTGTATGTCTTTGCAGGACAAGGTCATGTGTATTAAACAAAGGGGATTTTTTTCCAACAGCAGTAACTCTAGATGCTGATCACTAGCAGGAGTCAGTGGATATCTCGGCGGTTGAGAGCCCTGCAGTAGAATGTTTTGTGCTTTTAAAACAGTGAAGGTGGAATAATTTTTTTTTTTCCTGTATTGCTGCAGTCTCTGCTAGTTATTTTGATCTTCAATGTTGTAAACTTTTTTGTGCTCATCATGTTGTCTTATGCATACTTTGTAGCTGCTTTCCTTTATGTATATGGCTGCAGAAAAAAAATTGTGTCACATCTTTGTTACTAAAAGGTTGCCTGTTTGGGACTCTTCTTGCATTACCATTTGGAAGTTACTGGACTAAGACTGATACCTAGTATCAGTGAGTTCAGAAGCAGGAGAATGTCTCAAACATGATAATATTTTTGTATTATAACTGATTTTAGCCATTTGTGTTGAAGAGTGTTGAGCAGCAAGAGACTTTCTTCTGTATTACAACAGGTACCTTTGAAAGGTATCTTCAAAGTAGTTTTTTTCTTCAAGCAGTATAGAGAGGTGGGCTGCACTGATGTCTTAAACATCTAGCTTAATTCGTATTTTGTCTTTTGCTACTGTTAGGTCTGTTTTCTGAGAGAGGCTCTTCTATACAGGAGACAAAAGTTAGTGGATTTGTTTTGATACTAGGACTCAGATTTATAGTAATCCTCACATACACCTTATTGTAGTTGATGACAGTTTCCAATGACATATGCAGAACCCTAACATACAAAACTAGACAGTTTCACTGTTAAAAATATATGAATGAATGTCTGCATTCCCTGTGTGCTTCTTTGTTCTTTGCTGTCCTTGCCTTCACGTGAATGTCTTCTGTTGTTCCTCTGCTTTCCTTTTGTTACTCTTTTCCTCACCCAATGCTTTGTATCACAAATGAAAAGATGCTACTTCCTCCATCCAAAAAAAAAGCCCATCAGGTTTTTTAACTGTTAAGAACCAGGTTCTTAACAGTTCCAGCTGATGATATGGGAAAGAAGTTTTTCTGTTCATATTTGGCCATAATTGTTCTCCAAAGGTGTTTTGGTTTTGTGCTGGTTTATGTCAGGATATTTTAACTTTAAAGCCTATTGACTTTGTTCTTTTGTCTGACTTTAGACTCATTCACAGAGGTTAATTCCAACACACCAGCAACCTGTTAGGAGTCTGTTCCAGCAGCAGCACCACCACCAACAGCAGCAGCAGCAACAGCAGCAGCAGCAACAACAGCAGCAGCAGCAGCAGCAGCAACAGTTACAATCTCTGCTTCCTTTACAGCATCAGCATCATTCTTCTCCTCCTCCAGGGCTACATATGCCCCCTCAGATAGAAACGCCTAGGATAATGATGACTCCACCTCCAGTGACACCTCAGCAACCGAAGAACATACACATAAATCCACATTTCAAGGGGACGGTAGTGACACCTGTACAAGGTGAGCTTTCTGAACATCTTCCCGGTCGTGCGAGTGTGACTCATCTTATTCTTTGCCAGAGATGCACCAATTTATTTTTTTTTTTCACTTCATGGAAATGTGCTTGAGGTTGATACTTTTTTCCTTATGCTTGAAACAAATGTCTGGAGTAAGACATAATGTTGTTGGGCTGTGGCCAGCTGAAATAGTAAAGCCTTCTCAACTACTTTATCATCATTGGTACCCTACTCTAAAGCCTGTAAAGAACAGTAAAAATTGAAACTGAAAACAGAATGTGCTTTTTAAAAGTAGAAAATGTCAGTTTTCAAAACTAGGTAAGTACTGCAGTTTATAATTTCTCACATCATTCCAGCTTCAGCCAAGCATTCACAGAATGACCACCCACCTATTTCATTGAGAGTACACTGAGGCACTCCTTGCACTAATTGCTCTGTGAAAGGTACCAGCTGCTGTCCTTACTTGACAAGATACATGCCTTCAGTTCTCCCTCCAATGCCACATTTGTGATTGTTTGATTCGCAGCCTGCAAACACAGTTTTTCCATAACTTAACACAAGCACTCTTTGGGTTACACTTTTTAGGGCAGCTCTGAGCAGAGCTGTTAACATTACTACGTATTTAAGAAATGTTTAATCCCTAAGAGGACAAAAACACCTACATACCTCTGATTTGTTATTCTGTTGGGACTAGAAAAAGTAAAGAAATAAGTATGTTTATACGTATTTACCATTAGGCTTTCTGGTTTTTTTTTTTTCCCCCCTTCAAATCAGCAGAACTCCAAGCCAGTGCTATCTTTGCTTCTTGTATTTGACCAATGAAAAGTAGGAATTTGGCAAGGTAGGATATTGCCAGTTGATAGAGATCTATTAGGCTTCTTGCAGATGGCTTCATAGTAGCTGCATTGTAGAGATGATTTTGCTTTTTCCTGTCTAATAAAATGAGTGCTTTCCACCAAATTATGCATCAGAACAGATTGTATGGAAATAGTCCAAAAGGTCATTTAGTCTTGGATTTATCCCTTCTGTGCATTTTCCTAACATTTCCAAAGTAACAGTTGTTGCTTTGTGAAAAGCAAAAATTGGTTTTAGACTATTCTGGATGTCTCTCTTCTCTCCCTAGGAAACAGTCAACAAATCTTCTGTATCTAGGGGAACAAGTATTCTCCTAATGCCAGCAGTGGCTACTGAGGATTTTTGCTTTTGCCTAACATCGAAAGTATACCAGTGTGTCTTCTCTCTTTTGTCTGAGGATTTTTTTTTTCCACAATATCAGATGGCTTCAGGCTTCTCTCAGCCTTACCACTACATCTGTGGCACTGTGGGTATTCCAGGAGCCTTGTTTGTCTTGAGCATAGTCTTTTTTTTTTTTTTGTCTTTACTTGCAGATCCTCATTTTAGCAAAGTTGTGTACTGTCTGCATGTTAGCAGATCTTCAATATCGGATTTTTAGTCTGTTTTTTAGATCTTCAACCTGGTGACTGTGCGCATGTTCTTTTCGTGACTGGTAAAAGTCTAGTTGTCCTCTCGGAATGAGCAGCCCTGGATAATGAGTAACACATTTTTGAATGGTGTTAAGACCTGTATTGCAGTGAGGAAGATCTTTGCGATGTGTATGGATGGCAGCTGGTTCGAATGAAATACCTTTGTGCTGTCCGTTTTACTGAAGAAATCCTTGGCAAGACTACTGATAGGTGTGCAGCATACTATTAAACACAGTCTTCTAAATCACTGTAGAATTTTAATCTTCTTGATTAGACAGCATGTATGGGAAGCTGAGTCTTCTGCAGAGGCTGAAAGTAGTGGCCACTTCAGTCTTCTAGTCTGCAGCAGTACATTTATGTTATATGAAAGTATGCATTTGCACACCTGAGGAAAATGTGTAGCAAAGCAGTAGTAGTCTTCAGGGAAGATGAGCATAATTCTAAAATCTTCAATGGCATTTGCATATTAAGATGAATTTTGAAGCAGTCACTGCAGGCAAATGGTAGACTGAAATTCCAGTGTAGGAAGAGTTGTTCTAGACTTCCTCCTAAGAAGTCGTCCTTGGTTTAACCGTCTGTTTCAAACCCCAGTAAGAGACTGATAGTTGACAACATTAGGATGTGTTTCACATGCAGCATCATGTATTTCAGGGCAACAGGAAGTATGAAAGATCAGATTGACTTTATATTCTTGATGATGTCCTGCCCCTTCTTGGCTGAATATATTTCCAGATACATTAGGGTTTTTACACATTGGAGAATACAATCAGATAGGTGCAAAGTTTATTTGGATTCTCTTGTTGAAAATGTGATGTCTGGAAGCTAAAAATGCCACGTCTGGAACTGCATGATATGCTCACTTAGGTTCTGGTAATTTTAATGGTGTGCTGTCATGTTCTAGTGTAGACTGGCATTTTTTTCCTCTCTAATTTTATGGCAGGATTAAGCTCACACACTTCTAATTGTCAGCACCAGGGACACTTTTTCTAACTGCAAATCATAGAAATATACTTCCTCAACATCTTTTTGGTTTGAGTTAGTCTTGAAATGCATGGAGTATATCAGTATTCTCTAAAATAGACTCAAACATCCTGTAAATCTTTATGAATTTTTAATGTGAATAAAACAGCATGTATAAGAGCTCTAGTAACCAACTACTTCAGCCTGGAAGTGAGTTGAAGCACTCTTCAAGAGTCCTGTCATTGGCTTATTCCTTTGAAATCTCAAAGATGAATCTTTTTCAGTGGCCACTATCTCCCTGCCCAGCCTTGAATCTCGGTTCAAAAAAATAGTTACTTTCAAGTCAGTTTTGTTTCGGAAAAATTTCTGTTGGTGTTAATCTTTGAAGCCAATGAATGATTAAGGAGAACTCTGTCTATCAAAGCCCATAAAATGGTCATGTGACCCTCTACACATACCTGCTGCAGACACTGTTCAGTTGGCATTCAGCTGTGCCTTTTGTGGCATTTGAATCCCATGACTTTTAGTGCCTTGCTTGTCATATGGTTTCCTCTCCTCTTTGTGTTCTATTCTGTAAAGTAGTCTTGAGTTGTAAGTAGTGATTTTTGGATGAATGCATGTCCAAATTTGAGTATGATCAATTTACAAATACTGGAAGACTGTACATAGATGTACTATGAAATGCTAATTCAACCTGTGATACATGTATTGAATTTTTCCCTCAAATACTTATCCCACAAATAAGTATTGCAATGATACCGTGATGCTGCCAAAATTGGCATGAACTAATAGGCAGTTTATGGCAGCTCGGTAGATTAGTATGCCATTTACCTTTTAAAAGCTGTTTGGTGTCTCGGGAAAAATTATGTTATAATTCTCCAAAATAATCAATATGGGAATTGATTCTTCATCTTTTAATGTATAGCATTGAAATTTACAGTCAAAAGCAATTTATTCTTAAAATAGTTTCTAACAACATGCTCTGTATTATTTTTGAAACGTGTTTCAAACCTATGGAAGATTTGACAATCAGGAAAATGAATGCTTATTTGAGATTTCTTTGCTGCTTCAGCAAGTGTCCAAGGATTGAAAGGGCACAGAGTTTGAACCACTATCTTTCATGAGTATTAAATTAATTTGCTTAAAATCCATAAATATATCTCTCTTTATATGCTACTGCCAGAGGCAGAATACTGAAATAGACCTGAGTGCCCTGTTCCGTTGACATTTCTCTACATTTCCCACCTTACGCAATTTTTGAGTCCCTCTCTGACCTGTAATACTTGAGCTATTTTAGTCCTAGGTCTGTCAGGAGCACCCTTGTCAATTTTTTCCAGGTGGCCATGGCTGTTTGATATGGACAGATGTTCATTAGAAGCCAAGATGAGACTATTCAACTGATTTTCTCGTGTAACTTGATACAAAGTTTGCATGGAGTCCTTTGGTGCTGAAAGACTGGTGCAATTAGTTTACCCCATCAGTCCCTGAACTAGTAAACCACAAGTACTTAAGAGAAGTGGATAGAAGCCAGACATGGACATGAAGTAAAAATAACCACTAATGCGTTAGTTCTTGTACCTCAGTTACCAAGAAAAAAGGGGTTTGTGAGGCATCTTGGCAACCTCCTGTGTTGGGAATTGCACACAACTTCTCACTTAAACTAGCAGCATTTCTTAACATCTTTCCTGCTCTGAAGTGTAATACAGTAGTTGTCTACGAAGTTGATATTTAACCCTGTGTGGGAAATGTTTTCCTGTCACTTTCAGAAGTGCTAAAAACAAACTGAAGAAAAATAACCTTACTAAAATTTTTTAGTAAATGAGCAAACACATTCAGTGCTGTTTGATATGCTATATTTAACTTCTCTAGGCCTTTTGTCTAACGTTGAAGCATTTGTGTTTTTAACCATGTAGACAACTTGGAGAGAAAACAAAGTGCTCTGGAAAGTGGGAAATCTGTCATTACACTTTGTACTGGGGGTTCAAATACAGATTTAGTCCCCAGGGTGATCCAGCTGTAGTTGCTTTGTGCATTAATGCCATAATATTAAGTGAATGTTTTGGGCAGTATTTTTTTGTGACTAGTCTTTTGAAATGCAGTTGTATGGACTAGTCATCCATGTTAATCCTCCTGAAATACTAATTTTGGAGGTTATTTTTTGGAAGAGGGTCTCCTAATTCTTCTTGGTGTCTCTTTATGAAATAGCAGTCTTTCATCTGAGACCAGCAGTTTTGTGATTACAGATTAAGTAGTTTTTGCTTGCTTTTAATTGCCACTGCCTGCCTCATTTTACCTTCCTCTGAACAGTGATTTATACCAGATATTCTCTCATGCCCGTGCTTGTTGTAAGAGGTTGGTGGTGAGACTGGGAGATACCTAGGAAATCTTGAGGGGCATGAAGTTGAAAGGGTAAATTAATCATGTATCCTTCTATTTGAAACATGAAATTATACTTAAAGTCTTTGTCAGCTATGGCTAAGAGATGTCTTTGGCTGAATAAGTACTCTAGTTTTCCTTCCTGCAACAAGGAGCAATTTAATTCTGGGAAATACAGAATTAAATTATGTAAATTAACTAGGAGAATCTTAATTGTCCTGTTGCATGTTGCAGGGGAGGGAATGGTTTCTTAAAGCTAATTGTAGAAACTGTGACATGGGAGGGTAAATGCAGCAGATTTTAATCATGGCTTCTCATTGAAACTGCTTTTGGAAATAACAGCAACAACTGTTAGGTAAAACAAATGGTGTTAAAAGGTGCTTCTTGTTTCAGTGCCCTTGCTGCCAGTTCCAGCCCAGCCAAGACCTGCTGTAGGACCCCAGAGATTTCCTGTGAGTAGCAGCTGTTTCTTCTTCTCTGATATGGATAAGCATACATTTGCAAGGAAATATTAATATAGCAAATAAAAGCTGTTCTAGTGAAATATAATTTTAAGAATTTGTAAATATTGACAATACACTCTGCAGTTGAAAATGTTTGTTAAAAGCTTAAGGTCAATGGATTTTTGAGAGTAGAATTAATTCTGTTTAACTGTAAAATTGTTGAACCAGCCTCTCCAGTGGGAGAGGCATGAATGCATCTTGTCTTGAAGAATATGGCCTTCATTTTATTACTTGACTCTTTCTGTATAAATAGAATCCTTATTTTATTTGATGTAATAAAATGCTATTTCAAATAATCCCTAAGCTTAAAAAGCAGCAATATATATTTATTGTAAAAATCAGCAATCAATTTTATCATTACTTCAGGCATTTAAATGCCCTCATGTTTTTTGTATAAAAAAGAGAATGGCATTGCATGACCTTGCTTTCTCTTATGTTTCTAACTCCTAAAATAAACAGTGCATTTAGCTGCTTCACTAGGCTAATTTCATTTGAAAATTTTTTTCTGCTTTGTGAATGGGGAGGGTGCATACTTCTAGGCCTTTTCTCATCATTTCACAGTTTTGTTATCCTAAAGTTTTAGTTCAAGTGGCTTGCAGAGTATCAAAGTAAAAGAAAAAATAGTTTATTCAATACTGCCTTAAATATTTTCAAATAAAGACCCATATATTATGTTTCTCAAATATGTAAAACACACAAAAATTATACTTGGTTAATGTGTGCAGTGTTGAACGATGAAAGTAGATATTTGTGAACATCTGTGTAGCACCGCACAGTAAACTACTTGCATAGAGATCAGAAGTATTTGAAAGAAGCAGATTTCAGAAACTTTTGATTGCCATGTACATTCATGGTTGGTTTTGATGCAGAGTATTTTTCTTACAGGACATCTAGTTGAGGAATTGGGATGTCTGTATTTTGTACAGTAATCAGAGTTTTTAAATTGTCATGTTTCTTCTGTGAAGGGTAAAAAACTTAAGCAGTAAAATGGCAGTTTCATTAAGCAAATTCATGTTACATAATTCCATCATCCACGTTTTAACCAGAGATGCATTCCTATTGAAAAATACCGTGGTTTTCAGAGGAAATAGTTTTCCTCAACAGCCTTTAGTATTATGTGGAGACCTTATTAACATTTTAAAAGTAATTCTTACTGTTTTTAATGAGAACAAATATCTTGCATTTGTTTTCCTTTGACACTAAATTGCTTTGCTGACAAACACAATTTGGGATGAAAAAGAAATTAGAGGACAAGGAATATCTGTAAAGGCATTGTAATTGACATCTTTGAGAAGTGTGTTTACATCAGTGTAGAAAAATTGGAAATTAATTTTTTTAAATTGACTGTGAAATTAGATTTTAATTCTGTTCATTTTTGGTTTTGCAAGTTGAAGTACTGCAAACCTAGCTACTTTTGTATACAACAGTTTTTAAAACAGAGTAAAATAGATTGAACATTTTTGGTAGGACTCTTGTTCCTTTTGCCTGAAGGAAAGTACTTGACTGCTTACAATGCACTAGCAAAGAGTCAGTGTAATTATTCTTTTCATAAAGAGGGCTGTCTTAACTAGGAGGATCCAATACTGTGATTTGGTTGCCCTGAGTGTTCTAAATTTTTTTTTCCACTTCAGCTAGTAACCTGCTGTATGACCCTGAGAAAGTTACTTAATCTTTCCATGACTCACTGAGTTATAAAATGGGTATAATATGGACTTCCCTTGTGAAGCACTTTATAAATTTTGCATAGGTTATCAATCATATTAGGATTAGGAATTAAGTGTCACTGTGTACATATGTCATGTTTGTTTTATTAAATGTAGTATGTTAGCTCTTGAGCTGAAGTCAAATTTACTTTCTTACTTGATCTTTTTATCTTGCAAAACTACCTTTTTTGCTCTGTTACATGTCAAATGCCTTTGTGCCATTGTAATTCACTTGTTTATGCATAAATGTTGACTTATAGCAGTATAGCAATATTTAGACAACTTTTGCTGCCAAGGTATTTGAAAAAGATGAAAGTAGTATTCCAGACTATAGTTCATTCATCCTTTTCCTCATTGCAGAAAGAATCCTTGGATATCCAATAAATTGAACTTGCTCTTCTTTTTAGGATTGCCTAATCAAAGGAAAATAGTTAGCTGATTTTTCTGGTTGCTTAGTTTCTAAGAAACTCTGCAGTTAGAATGAAGTATGTGTAGTCTGCTTTCCTCTTTAACTTTGAACTGGATGGTTTATTTTGATTGAATGTAGCAGAGGTAGAAACATGAAAAGTAATGAAATTCTTGTAAGGGAGAGACCTAAAAGGGGCTAGAGCCCTAACTGAAGGAAAAATTGCCCCTCAGTTCCTGTCTCACCTAGGAGAGAAACACAGAGTCTGTGTGTGCTCCAAACATGGGTAGAGCTTCAATCAGAGCTAATCAGTTGGAAGTCATAAATCCATTGGAAACCAGGTGTTATTAATTTAGGGCTAATGAAGGCACTTGTAACCATGTAATGGTTAATTCCAACAACCTTTTGCAGAAGGATGTAATTGAAGAGTTGAACAAAGTTGTAATGAGTATGTTAGCGCATTGGTGTGAGTTCTAAATTATAAGAAATAATGTAGTATTAGATCAGAGTAATATTGATTGGGATTGAACCTGCTTGGAGTTGGGTCTGATTAAATTCACTTAACCTTGGATTTAAATTTTAATATTTCAGGATAGGGCTCATTGTTTGATTATTTCTTACTTAAAGCTTAACCCCTTAAATGTTCAGAGAGGAAGTACTAGGAAGGACATAATGGAATTAATCTATTTGTGTTCCCTACTTAAAGTTATTTTAATGTTTACAGTAATCTTCAGTCAAGCAAGGAACTTGTCTATCTCTTACTCTGTAAGCAGTCAAGGTGACTTAGTGTGAACAATATTTGAGAGCTATGTTCAACTGATTAGGACTGAATAAATGGTGGATCTGAGGCAGGTAAACAGCTCAGAAGTATAGTGCACTTGTGCTAACAGGGACTGAAAGTCCTGAGTTCTGCAAAGGCTTCTATGCTTGTCTAAATTGCAAAGTACTCCTCAGGTGGCTGTGGTTGATAGTAGTCCAATCTTCAAGCATAGTCAATGCTAGTATTTTTCCAGGTATTTGAATTGACCTGGAACTGTGCAAGTGCCAACTGCGTGTTTTCTTTAAACTGTTTAAAGAACAGATTAAGCTAACTCTTTGGCCGAGTCCTTCTGGAGGTCTTGTTGTATCATCTGCCTTTGCTTTAAAGTGGTTAAAATGTTTTTGTCTGAGTTGCTGTCTCGGTGTCATGGTTGGTATTTCACAGATAGCAGTCTACTTTGGGGACTGAAGCAAATTATTAGTTCCTGCGGGTGCCCCAGTACAGGTACGGAGCCTGTAGCCGTTCTTGCTACACAAGAAGGACCACTGTGGTTTCTGTCCTATGCTGTTTATTATCTGGCATAATTTCTCTTTCAACTGCAGTGTTCCGTGAAGGACAGTGGGGTAAAATAAGGGAAGAAGAAATTAAATAGTAAATAGAAGGGGTGTTTCTAAACACCTTATGTTTAGGCTGCTGGTAACTGACTATTGTAGAGGCCAGATCCTTACTTAATATGAAACTAGCAAAGTTGTTTGCTTTCAAATGGCAATTTTCATGAGCTAAGTTCATGATCCAGATCTTTTTATCTCTTATGTGAGTCCACCAGCATGTTCTGTGTCTGAAATATTTTGGTGTTTGCCCAAAGAAAAAATATATGAAGAATTTTTGCTTCAAATATTATTTAACTTAATGAACACTGAAATAATTTTTGTATGCGGCACACTTCTGTGCAGTTTTGTAAGGACATATAAAAGTGGAGCAAGTGGTGTTATGCCTATTTTGGGGAAGAACATGGCAGAGGGAAAGGTGTTTTTCACTGTCAGAATTCTTTAACCAGAAATTGTGACCTGGCATCCAACCTAGCATGTAAATTTGGGGCTGGAAATGGGGTATTTGGAGCAAAGAAGTTGTTGAGGAGAACCTGCCTCACATGGCTCAAGGCAGGATAGAGATTTGGGGCCATTCCCCCTCTGTCTGTGTTCTGGATCCTCCTCTGAAACCACTGCAGAGAGCAGAGCCTGTTAAGACAGCTGTCTGCCTTTTGCCAGGAGAATATTCAGGAAATTGGATAAATTCCAATTTAGCCCCTGTCCTGACACCCTGGGTGTGGAGCGAACTGGGCAGGTGTCCATCCCACAGACATATTTTACTAACTTTGGTCAACTTGAGTTTCAGAGCTGCAGTTAGGAATAGTCTCAAGTGGCACAAAGCACAAGATGAACTGACAGTAGTGTCTGCCTGACTAATTTATGCTAGGAAGGCTTTGATGCTTTTTAATGCACAAAGCTTTTCTCCTTTGGGTAGGACACCTTAGTGCACAGGGTACCTTTCAGATAGCTATCTACAATTCAAGTCTGAAAGTTGAATTGTAGAACATATATTATGTTTTATTCCGTATAAAAATAAGACTTTAATAGAGCAACTTGTCCTCAGGCCCTTGTGAATATTCTACATCGCATGATCGCATGTCTTTTCCGTTCCCTGCTTAAACTGGTGTGATTTGGGTTTGGAACTTACCTTACAATTTCCTTTCAAAATCATCTTTATCCCAAAAGAATACTTGATCCCCCCCCCCCCTTAAACTGCAAAAACAAACCTTGGTAAACTTTCTTTATATTCCCATTCAACATTCTTCTACTTGATCTCCAGGATGTCAGGTGCTGTCTTAAATGGATGCTGTGAAAGGCAGTTGAATACTTTTGATTCAGATTTTTCACCTTTTCTGAAAGCTATAGTTTCACGAATTCTCAGCTTTCAGGTGGCGTTTGAAATTCAGACACTGCTTTTAAAGACTTCTTTATGCTTTAACCTGCGAGACGTTTTTAAACAGGTGCCCATTTGTTGCACAAAACAGAGTTTG